TGAGGGCTTCCACTTTATTTCTGCGAAGATATAAATAGCAGTATAGTATAGCCACAGGTATCGTAGTGGTAAGTAGCTCACCACGTAGACGGTCTTGGTGTCAAATCCCGGATCGACTCCCGCCCAGGCCAACCAAGCCTTCTACCCTCGGGGACGGTAAATTGGTACCAGATTCGTCTGGGAGGATAAAACACTGACTTGTACATCGGCTGGCCCCGCAAGTCATTGTATAGGCCACATCGCATTCACTAAGCATTTGCAGTTCTGACTGGAAATGATATGTGAGGCGCATACCAATAGAAAATACGGTGATGATCAAATCTTGAACCTCTACTCTTTTTATTCTTTGTTCTCCTACTGTGTTTCTTGTTCGCGATTGTCTATGCGACGAAATAAGATATCTGATGTGTAATTGTAATTGATCCGATAATTGATCCAGATTCTCCACGTTCGACTTCTGGCAAAACACATCGCAGTCAGCTAGAGCACACTCATTGCCTGCCCAATTTCAACGACAATGTACAAAATATTGGCCATTTTTCTCGCTTTCGCCATGATCTCTGGTAAGACACCTTTTTTGAATTATATTTTTTATTAAACACCACTATTGCAACCTCTCTGAGATTTCGCTGTTGGTGAACATTTTCCGTTCAGTTGAGTGTTGAGTGCAATGGGCGTTTCCAGAAACAACGAACTTTCAAACCCTGATAACCTCCTGACGCATTTCTCCAATATTCCGCCATCCAGCTAGGGGGGGGGTGGAAGTGGTGAGTAGGTAGGCCCCTCCGATCAACTATCATGAATAGTAATTTTGCGGCGTAGCCACAACGGGGAGGGTATATAGCGCCTGTACCCCCCCCACCCTCAATTCTCAGCCAAAGCGCCTCGATCATGCGTAGTGGGATGACTGATTCGAACTCGACTAGTACAATTCCAGTATTGTTTGCTGAAGAGGAATCGCTGAAGATCCAAGGGCAGTTCAATGTGGTCGATGATAGCGAAGAAACCAGCAGTGGTGCCATCGCAGAAGAATACGACGGTAAGCTCCAGGTGGTTACACCATTTCATGGCTCCTTTTTTAAGTTCAACTTCAAATCCATATGCAGTAATTTCCTTACTACTTATTCAGACAAAATATTCGACGAGTTGCCTTCACTACGTATCGCCCGCGAGTATCTACGACAAAAGATCGCGGCGGAGCGGCAGCAGAAAAGTTCAGAAGGATTGGTATGACCCCCTCGGATCAGTATAATTTCGCTGTACATTCATTATCTCTTCTGAGAGAAAGTAAATCTGCATAGCATCCAATGCTTTAAAGGAGTTAAATTGTTATGTTCTCATTTTCTTTTCAATCGCAATGCACGATAAAGTTTACTATATTGTTAGAGCTATCATGAAGTTTAGGACATCTTCTCATATTAACAAGCACTCGGATACCTGACCGCACAGCAACCAGCTGTGCGGTCAGGTATCCGAGTGCTCCAGCTTTACCCTCCTCAAGGATCCAAAGCCATGCGCTTCCGTACATTCAAGTGCACACAATTTCTCGGAAAAATTTGGTCAACAGTTGGAGTATGCGTTAGAATATATCGAATCTCCCCCAAAACTTCTCTACATTTTCCTGGTCAAAAATGTGGACCAATGAACTGAACAAAGACAACTGGCTCCGTTAGAGACATGCTATACACTCACCTCTGTAGATCCTGCTGCTTGCCGTGTGTGGGGAAAAAGGATTATAGCTGCACTAGCAGGCCACTTTCCTAGCTCAAAAGTGTACGGAAACGGGACTGGAGGGTTGTGATACCTTTCCGCATACTCCGACGGCGCTGCTACAGGGCCAGCCCGACGCCTGACCGTAGTTCAACGCGCTATCTATTAGCTGCCTCCCTACGTCTAGTTCAGCGTCGAGGCTGGCCTGTAGGCAGCGGCCTCTCTCTGAGTGCGTGTCTCGGTATCGACGCAAGTGTTGCACCCCATGGTCGGAGTGTGAGACGGCACCACCCTCCAGTGCCGTTCCCGTGTACTTTGAGCGGAGAAAGTGCATGCCCTCTGAACTAAGAGTACTCAATTTCCGCTACCGATTTCGGATGAGGGGGATCTCAACATTATATTGCTGCGTGATCGCTACAAACCGGACCTGTCAGGAGGGCTGGGTCTAGATGTGCTAAAGCTGTTCTCCATCAGTTATTGAAACCAGCAAGAGACTTTGCAGCAGCTTGATGTCAAGAGTGAGGTCATGCGTGCGGCATTATTACCAGGGCCTGAATGATCCAACGTAGAATCGCTACAGTATGTCCTGTCAACTATGCAACCGAAATGGCAGCTCTGTTTGTGTAGGTCTCGCAAACGACAGCCACAGACAACAGGATTCGGAGACAAGTAGACAGATTGGATATTCATAGACCAGTCCGACCGCCCGGCTGACGCCGAGCTCTCCTCCTTCTCTTCAGCTCGGCTTTGCCGAGCTGGCCTGGCTTCGCCAAGTTCGCTTCCATAATTTAATGGACTTTTGGCATAGTGTTCAAATGGTGGGTTGCTCATACGGCGCTGTAGTGATCGAATCATAGCAGATAGAGCAAGGCTTGGGATCGTGCACTACTTAGCACAGGCTTCTATTTGCAGCAGGGGTGTGGTCCGCGCCATAACGCCCATACAATACATAAATCTGTAGATAGATACAATGTGTAGTCGGCCAATACAGCGCAGTACGAATCGCTCAGTAAAAGAGCAGATTTTGTTTCCATTACCTGCACCGAAATGCCTACCGATGTACGTTTCCCTTTTCAATTAGCATGCAATCCGCTCGCTGAAGTATAACTATTAGTAGGTACTATGAGCCCTTGTTATTCGTTCTAATCAGTAATTCAAAGTTTAAAAGTAAAAAGTGCTATCGAACGCATGTGCCACATTATTCAGCTTTTTCGGTTCTCCTCGAATTTCTCCCAGTCCTGTTTCAGGCGAAGCTAACATACCCCGCTGCGCCCGGCCGCCCCACACTCGTCCTTTCATTATATAATAGGTATGACTTCATTATCATTGGATAAGACTTGCCTGTCACCCGCACCAATGTCGCTTTATGGACTCTACTCCAGTGATTTGAGTGTAATAGTGTAAAGGCTTTCAGACACTTTGACTGAACCGCAACACAGGTAACCGTTCCTCCTCAGCCCCCTATCACTGCTATAACCTCTTATGTCACCTGCCTCGTTTTGACTGTGCGCCTATCGTCCCCCTCTTATAGCAGTGTTCTAAAAGTCAACCGGCCTAGCTGATGTGGTGTCCTAGGTTGGGGGTGATGGTGACCTTAACCGCATTCTCCAATCCGCTTATCAACCTTATCAGCTGATATCACTCCTATCACCCCATCCAATAATTTCCCGTCACAGTCTTTACATGACTGCTTGGAATCAACTTCCTATAGCTACTGGGACCGGCACTACGAATTTCGTGACAGACAGACAGACGCACATCACTCACACACCGCGACACTGCCGATTATATAAAGTAGGATGGTAAGAAGATAAAAGGATGAAGTCTACGGCGTTCATCAATTTCTTTGTAGGATGCGGCACGCATTTCTACTTCTATTCAGACTCGTAGTGGCTTATTGATGCCGTCGTGGGTGCCTGTAACAAATGACTTGCGGAGGCGCAGCAAGATGTGCAAGTCAGTGTTTCATCCTCACCGACGACGAACCTAGTTCATTGTCGCTATCCCGTAGGTAAAGGTTTTTGGTTGAACCGGGGCGGCGAGTCGACCCAGGAGGGATTTGGAAACCGCGTCACCGCGCGCATTTTGCTAAGCCGTAAGGCCGGGCATTATCACTACACCGCCTGTATGGTGATGACGGACTGCCCAGGCTTCCTGCAAACAACGTATGAATTGTTCCATGAGGAGAGCACAAGCAGCGATTGTGACAAGTGTCCGCTACCCAATGGCAGTAGTCTAGGGTTGTGAAGGGATCTATTTTGGTGAATTCTCATATTACCACGTAGAAGTCAGCGGAACTGAGTATCAGAGGGACGCTCGCTGTAAACAAGGGTAGCAGCATTGGGGATGTGGCGAAATTGTCGGTGCTGGTTACGACCCTCCCCACCCCCCTGTCGACGGGCGCTCCAAGGCACGAGCCCCCACCCCCTCACGGCTTTTCTCTGACGACCGAGAGAACAAGTTGTCTGTCGGCCGTTAAAATATGGTCGAAGGGTGGGGTAGTATATCACGGCTGTACCAGTGCATATAGTGGGATATAAAACAAACATTAATACGACCCCACTTTTTCCAGCAAGAAAAAAAATTATTATCAAAAATAAATTGTGTCTGTACATAATACTACCGCTCCCAGAGAGCACAAGTACGACCGCCCCCCGCCGCGCCCCCTGTGTTTCGCCAAGGATGCTGTACCTGTGTGAAAGCTGAGTTCTTTACTATGTCAAAAGAACGGATGAAAAAAAAAACAAGAGGCAGAAATTCTCAAGGCGAACCTAGACCAGTGTCGAAGCAACATTCCATCTGCGCCACATTTATTTATAAAACGATTTATTTTGTTAGTGTGACATACACAGGATTGAGCCAACTTGCTTTCCGGTCATCGTTCCAGGATCGCTCTCTTGCGTGACTCATACGGACAACCAAGCTGTTTCGTACGACTTTCAGTGGTAACACACGTATACGTATTGGCAAATCAAGAGTCAAAAAATTAATTGAAGTAATTTTTATTTAACAGATCAGTTCGTTGGCGCAAAGGTGAGTGGCATGCCGAATTGGACTCCCAGAGCGGCAGATCCGGAAAGCAGGGTGACTGACTCTCGCCAAGACTTTCTCAATACTCATTTGACAGTACTATTATATTTCACAGAATACAAAGATAAGACGGAGCCATGCCTCGTCCTTTATACGTAATATTTGTGCGAACTATTACGTATCTGTCAGTGCATAGCAGCCCACAGGTCGCTCCAAGTCGGGAAGGGAGGGGATCATTTGTTCTGATCACATACTGTGAGAAATAGTAGCTTCGCCAAAGCCTTAGTAAGCAATCACGATCATCTGAGTCGTGCGAGCAAAGCCTATTTGACTTCCGAAGCCAGAACTCAACTTGAATTCGGTTTCGACGAAACTAAAAGTTGAGATTAACATTGATTTGATCTCATTCCTTTTGAGGAGGGGCAGCGAATGCTTTTGAAATTGTAACGATCTCACCGTTTATACCGTGCAAAGAACATGGCGTCATGAATAGTAGGATAGAAGTTAGCTTTGCTCACTGTGTCATAGAAACCGCTCACATCAAACAACTCGCGTAAAGGAGCTGAAAATCTATGAAGTAAGCTGAGAGATTGAGCAGAACACAGCCCTGGAGTGTGGTCAACGTTGAAACTCCATCTGTCGACGTGCTGCCGTTGCACATGCGCTCCAATGGGTTACCATCTCTCACTTTGGTTACTTAATTGCACTTTTGTCATTCAAGCCCTTTTCGCTGCACATTAGTGTTCCTGATTTTTAATGTCATCGGGCTTCTCAATACTAAGGTTCTGTCCCCACTGGGCTTAGAATTCACGATTTCTGTGCCAAAATTCACATTCGCTTCAAATCGAATTCAAAACACTCATTCACCAATTATTAACCAGCATCGCAGGACATACTGCGAGCTCGCCTTGGCACCGCCATTATTCGAGCGTTTTTGCTATTTTTGCCCTTTTCCGGATTTCTGGTCGCTTCCGCTGAGACATGACTAAGCCCTTCGCTTGATCGTATAAGCCGCTCATTTTTTGTAAGCATCCTCAAACTCAGGCAAGATAGAGTGCTCAATTAGACAGGTCAGAGTAGCTGGCTCCATATAACGCGGCAAACCCCGCTCGGGGTTTTTCTTTTGTTCCAACGACGAGTGACGAATTGCTGGCCCGCTAAACAAGGCATTATTCATGAAAATGGAGCGGGCTTTAGCAACACGGGCGGGTGTTATGCATGCCCTCAGAAAACGAGGAAACGTCTGGGAAGGGCGCACTAAAAAAACCGCAAGCATGCTTCGAAAAGGAGATGTGGCTAGGGTCGGAACTTGCATTAGTGTCTAGTGTGATCTGGTTAACCAAATGTTCGGTGTAAAGAATGTGTTGCGATGGTTTCGAAAAGTGGTGAATTCGATTTGAAGGGCGGTTATGTGGTTTGGAGAATAAGAAAATGGTATGTTATCTCGAACGACCCCCTTGCAAAATCATGTAACGCAGACAAAAGGGGACAACGGCTGCAAGAACATCGAAATGTGCAAGAAACATGCAGCGAGCTTTGGTTCAAGCTTTTTCAAGGGAGGGGACGGGATGGGTGAGCCACTTACCATGTGTGAAAAGCTGGAATATGTGAGGTCACAATGACCACAGAATGCAACAAGGAAGAGAGAGTGCAGAGAAAAACAGATCCGCGCTCAAAAGGATTAAATTCAAGTGTCCGTAGGCCGGAAAGATAGGTATCGTACACCGTCTGTCAGCGTCTACCAGCGTCCACCAGCGACCAGCAGCAGAGGGCTGATAGAGAGTATGGGTTTATAAGAGGGTACCAGCAATCTGCTACCCCCTTATCAACCCATAATCTACCAGCCGTCTGCTACCCTCCTAACGCTGGTGGACGCTGGCGGACGCTGTCGCAAAATGAAGGCAGTCTAAAGAATGTTTGGAGTTGAGCACCACTAAAGCAACTGCAACGGTAGCGTGTCAACGCGAAGTCTGAACGCAGCTATATACACGCACCTTTGGCAGCAGCAAACAACACACGTATCGACTTCTTTTGCAGATCCATGTAGACCTTAAAAGTAGAGATCACGCCCGTGAAAACCCATAAATTCGTTCAACAATATGAAATGATCGGACAAAAGTAAGGTTCACCGTGTTACCAACTTACTTCTTTCAAGCAGGTCACACCCATCATGTCAATGTACACAAAACCAGAACAATCAATAATAAGGAACTTTTCCGGCAGCTGATATGCTTGGTTCTTCGGATTCTCCTGTAAAAGTCGCAGTCAGTTGTTTGAGAGCTTGATTTGTAGCTTCAGGTAATATTGAAGATTCAAAGTTGAGTCCTTACAAGGAATGGTGGCATAGATATCATATTACACTAGCCAGATTCACTAAGGGCAGCTGGTACGATAACTTGGTACGGCCTAAAATGCTAGCAGGGCGCTATATAGTGGGGAAAATGGCGAAAGAACGGAGTGAAACGGTCAAAATCCTGCGAAGAAAAGCCTTCGTTCTCAATGACTTGAAAATCAATTTCGGCATCTTACCAATCACCGCTACCGAAGATACGGCTGCATATGTGTACCCATATATGCATGCAGCATCACGGCCGCTTCATACCAATCCCTTCGCTTCATAATTTGCTTAGCAAATGAATCAATACGAGCGTCAGGAACGGTCGTCCATTTGTGGGCGGGCGGATGTAGCGGGCGTTCGGGTCGGTATGTAGTAGCTTATAGGGCCCTTATGAGGGTATACGCACTGCTCAGGGGGGCTGAATTCAGTCCTGCCAGGCGCATTAATCCTACTCGTCTTCAGGGATTTATCCTGCTGACTGCCTTTTGATGATGACACCACATTAACGCCACCGTCTTCTTAACCCATAGCACGATTTCAAGAAGTGAGTATGTGTATAAACGTGGGCACTTCCGCTCAGGGAGGCGATGGGGAGGGGGGGGGGAAGGGGTGGTTTTCTGCATTTCCGCTAGTTTCTTATGCAACGGTCTGTTGAATTACCTGTGTTGCTTGGTGAGACCTGCGGACTCTTTGTCAAATGTGAACGAAGCTCTTGCTATTGAGTAGCTATACGGGACTTTAGAGGTGTCCACAGAAGGCATCGGTTCCCCCCCCTCAAAATTATGGGACTAGAAAAAACGTTCCAACGAAGCCACCACAACAACGTGCACCCAAATCCGAATTTGTCGGTGGTGAGTGCTGATGAAATGAATTTAGCTGCATCCAGTCTGAATTCATCCGTGGTGAGCGCTGATGAAAAAGTTTTAGTGAAAACAGTCTACAGGGTACAAGCGACACGTAAGGCTTTTCCTTTTCCAGTTGATTTTCAGGATGAGAACTAGGAAGCGAAGCGATACAACACGCACGGGTAATGGACCAGAGAGCAGGCATTAGAAAGCAGGAAGACGGGTAGGACGACAGTCAAGCTTCTACACAGATATGACAGTGGTCTCAAACGAGATAGGGACAACGCCATGTGACCGTGATACTGCTCCGTCTATCGAGCCAATGTTGTGGTACAAGCTTGGTTTCTCTGCAAACAGTCAGCATCAGTCATGTCGAAGGGACGGATTACTACTGAAGGAAGAAAGAAGAGCGTTCGCTGTCTTTGTTCTCGTGCTTTCCTAGTAGTCCTAGCACACTGCTTGGAATGAAAGCGCCTGGAAGCAGCGTAAAATTTCTCGCGGTAAATAGGTATGTGGTGCTGGCGCACGTGCGCTTCGAGTGAAGGTGATATCCGCATTAAGGACGTCAAAGTACACCTAGAGGCAGTTTCCAAGCCAAAGATGCATCTGGAGGGAAATGTCGGTGAAAAACTGCTGCTAAAGAATCGAGAGGTAAAGGGCGGATAGCGCCAAAAATCCGCTTCAAGCACTCCAAGAAATGAAATGTCTCAACCTTGAAATTTCCACATGCACATTTCTCAAAAGAAAGTTGTTCAAAAAGAAATTAATGCACGAAAGTTTACAATCTGACCTCCGATTTCTCCTTGCTATTCACAGAGTCCTTAAAAACTCAGATATCAGAATCGAGAGTAACAAGGGAAAAGGTGGTACAACTGAAAATGCTCTAACCTCCGACTCTCTTTTTATGGCTGAGGCATCCTTAAAATTCATTATTCAAAAAGTTAAGTGAATAAGCACGTGAAATAAACCGTGTTTTCTCTAACCTCAGTTGTCCCTTCCTTGATTAGAGGTTCCTTGAAAAGAAATATTCAAACAGCAGAATAAATTATTCAAAGAAACCTTGAAAAAATCTTTCTCAATGAACAGGCGGTCCCAGCAGGGAATTCTGTCCATGACATGGACATTGATCAACAATAATTGCAGGAAGTATTTGGGGAAAGTCTAGGAGCAAAAAAACTATGTAAAGATATGCCTGCATAGAGATAAAGACAAACTGTACACTCTCTCCCGTGGAGGGCATCCCGTGTGAGGCCCAGGTCCGTCTCGCGATCCGCCCACGATGCTGCACGGCCATCCTCATTTGGTATCAGCGCAAGAGCTGCACCTTGAAGATAGCGCAGGCAGAGTCAGGAGACGGCACCCGGGTATCATTACTCTTCATTCGATTTTCGTACACGTTTGAGCGAAGAAACTGGCACGCTACTGCAGCTGCGGGCCCACTCACCCTCTCACAGGCAAAGATCGTCCTCCGTACAGTTTGTTTTGACCCTCATTCAAAGCCAAGCATTCTGTTCCCATGGCATGCTGATATGTATAATATATATTAGAAACGGTGCATATCAGTATGGTTTGTTTTTGAACCGAAGCTCTTGTTGCGGGAGTAACTGGTACTGGTTTATTTGGAATAGCATAGAATTCATGCTCTTTGCAGTCGTTGCAAAAAGTTTACGCCAATTTGAAGCACAGAAAAAACCACAGACCATGCCGTTTTGTATATAGCGTTGCCCACCCTACTCGTAGCGAGCGCAATGAATGGGACGTTGCAATTCAGGTGATCTGTGAAGCATTCCTATTGGGACATAGTCGACTTAACGTTTCAGCGCTGTGGCATGTCAGCGCTTGCTGTGTCTGTGTCTCTCACTCCAACTAACTAGGGAAGTGTGCGATGCGGCGACTTCCAAGTTACGCTTACACCAGCTGCCGTCAGCGTCGAGCACGCCGTAATGATCTCACCGCGGTCCATCCGCGAGCAACCTGCGTAATTACAAATTGCTCTCGCTATGATGTTTTCGTAAGCTCATCAGTCAGGTCGGGAATTCCCATTTTTTTTGCTCTTGTACGCCTTCCTCTTGTATTCTTGTGAGGCCATGTCTACTTATGCTGACTTCATCTTTGGCATTGCTGTCAAATTCGAGCGCTCGTGCTGCATTTCTATTTAGCTGACGTCCTCTCTCGTTGCATATTCTGAGGATCCAGAGGTCATAAGTAAATAGAAAGTGCTTTCAGTACTTTGATCACTGTGTTCCATCAGTAGCTTTCCTTTTGCGTAGGCCTAATAAGGTGCTGCGACAACGGAATTGGTGATAAGGTGTCTCACTGATGATATTTATAGTTTGCTACTGCCGACTGCATGCTCTGTCTGTCATGAATACCACCATCTGCTCACAGAATAATTGACTCGTCGGTGACCGCTTTGTCTACCCCTCGATGATCTCTCTCTCATCCACGTAGTGTCGCCTCATGAGCCCGTCACACTTCTGCTCATGGATCTGCGGACTGCTCTAGTTCGTACTGCTAATAAACTGCTGTCGAATTAGTGTCAACTCAGAACCAACCTATCTGCAGGCGGGACAGCGATTCCACAAATATGAATAGTAGATGGCGTTCAAGAGAGCGTAATGATACTGTAGTACTTATGACTACGTGTACAGCTTTCAGCGCCACACGGTACGGTGTTCCATGGAAACAGCCTCATCAAAAGAATGTAGCCCTGTCGCACTGTTGTCACGGACAATTCGCGGCAACTTTAAAGGGAAGTCCTTTAACAGAATGCCGCATTGGCACTCCCTACCCCATCAGACATACAATCTAGGTGCACTACCAATGTGTGCACCACTGCCCGATCTCCGCGAATGACTGGTACTCTATCCACTTTTTGCCACTCTGGTGAGTAAACTATCTTTTCATGTTTGCCCTTCGTCAAAAAACGCACTCTTTTTTTTGATGGGGGGGGGGGTTGAGGTGCCCTTATGTCGCAAATATAGAGATAGTAATACAGTATCTCAATCACTGTATTACCAGTGGTTCCCCTCCGTTTAGTGGCATGCCCAGGACCGGTATTAGGGACTCATTTCACACCTACCATTTACAGCTCACAGCAGGGACAACGACTCCGTGCTCTATTGTCCCCAATACTTTGATCGACTCAGGGGCTATCATTTCGTCGCCTGACACCTCTTATCTTGTCGGTGGTCTCCTTCATCTACGTCAGTCGCCTCATAAAATCACCACATTTCCGCGAATACTTCGACTGACCTATTTGGTACTGCTAAAAATTGCCACAGTTTTGTTTCAACTCTGAAGTAGCCTATCAGCAGGCGAAACGCAGTTCCTCAGACGTGATTTCGGTTTTCCTGGTACACATCATTTTTTCAGTTGTTCTCGTGTATAGAGCAAACCCTTCTTTTTACATTACTTTTTCTCCAACTTGGAGTGATTCCACAAATAGTTACAAAACCCACTGCTGCAAATAAACTATTAAGAAACAGCGAATCTCAGACTCCCTCCTTGAGACATGTCGTTCTTAGATTAACTGTTCTGATGATTAGTTGGTTGGTAGATATGGTGTAAATAAATATCATTGTGATCAAAATTTTGAAATAGTAGTCGGGCACAGCGTGGAAGAAGGCTACTGAATATTCTAGTATTGTATTCCCAAAATAGTAGGTAGAAAACATTCGTGTTTGCGTTATGCAATTGGTTGAATGTCAGTGTTCTGATGATGTACTGAGAGTTGAGTAGGCCATCGAGTCACGCATAGGGACAAACATTTTTATTTATCTAAATTTCGGGACGAGATTCCCGAAGTGGATCACTGCCGTTTAGATCTAAGATTTTCATCCGAAGTACGAATTGTAAACATCCTCACCGTAGTCCCATCTTCGGTGAGCGAAGACTCTTCTTCGGGCTCCAGTTCCGAGTTACACGAGACATTATTCCACTTAGATGTGACGATGTCTACCATTTCACGGAACTGCTCCACATTCGTGAACAGCAGTGGTGCATCGAAACGTACAATGCTTACATTCTAAAAAGTGAACCAACAAATACAATCCAAATACAGGAACCTTATTCATTTCTTTATGACTCAATGATACTGCTAAAACCATAAACGCACTGGGGGATTACGTGGTTCCTTTCCCTTTACTAATTTTGGCAATATTTCAGTAACTGACTACCTTTGGGAATGTGAAGTCCCACCGCTAACTTACCCATGCTCGCCATCGTCGGAATATTGCCATCTACCTTGAGATCAGTGTTTATTATCACTGAAACGTTGAAATTCCGAGAAACACAAACCTCAACAGATTGTGGTTCTCAAAAATCCGAAACAGCGCAAGCTGTGTGAGGGTAATTATGCAAGCATCATATAGTTATACTGCAACCGCTTTTATTTGGAGTGGCGAGACGAGTCCGCACGGTGTCGCAACGACCTCGCCTGCGAACACGGAACAGTATGCTGTGGATCGAATGAACCTTTATTTTCCTGAATGTTGATTCCGTAAGATCCTTTCTAGCAAATGTGACCATAAAAAGAGGCAGTAAAGGTAAGACGGTCGAAAGGCTGCAGAGAAAATGAAAACAGAAAAGAGGAACCTAAGAGTTAATTATGAGAAGAGAAGACTCCATACAGAGAAAGTCATCTAACCAACTAGGAAAAAAAGAAAATGTGAGGGTCCGATGGAAAACTTTGGGATCCATTGTGGGACCCTTGTTCTCCTATTGTTTAGTGTCGTAAAATACGGTAACAACGATGATTTGGCCACGTTTTTTTCTTTCTTCATATTTCTGGCAGTCCGGTGGTAAATTAAGTTGCATGGATTTCTCTCCCATTGTTTCTTTAAGAATTGAAAAGTGGAGCCTTTTTGAGAGCACTTTATTGCACTTTCTTTTAACTAGCCTTTTCTTCCTGTCGCCGGCTATTTACCTACAGTATCCATTCTCACCACCTTCTTCACCACTTTTCGATCATTCTACCTTCACTGTTTGTTTCAATGATCGTATTTGCTAGAGTCTTTTCCAAATCAATTTTTTTGAAAATAACAACTCAACCTACAACATGTCGTTCAGCGATCGCAGACGCGCCAATCATTATGCCCGCTGAGTTGGGGGTCTCAGCATGCTTAACTCCAGGACTCAATACAATTCAAGTGGGAAGACAAGCTCTTCACCTTTGCTTGAAACGTGGTTTTTACCTCGATGAAATGAATCTGCTGGTATCGCTCTATATCCCTGTACTCACTTGTGCCAGGTATGTTCGACAGGATGTGCCACTGCGGCCTAAAGTAAACGAGAAAGGGGTCACAAATACAAACAATTCGCACAAATGGACTATGAGCACCTAAAATTTACCACTGTTGGCGTGCCAAAGTTGTGAGCAGAGCGAATAGAATGCCGATCAGCAGTCCTTGAATTACATCTACACAAGCTGTCGCCAAAAAGGCTACCACCCATATTGCCTGAGATACCCCAATCGAAGACATTACTTGACGCAAGTGGATGGAACGCTAACCCAATCAATCTTCGAAATTGACCATATCCTCGGCAACTGCTTCAATTTTGCAAACATGTCCAGCAGTGCTATGATTATAATGGATGCAAGAATACACTGGAATCAATCGATTGGTACTGTAGAACCATGAGGCTATCAGTTTTTCGAAGGTAATTTATCACTTTATTAGCCATCGGAGCCGTTTAGCTGGGGAAACAATACTTGTGAGAATTAGGGGATCTTTACACACAAATGCCAGAAGGTCCAAAAGGAAAGCCATAAAAAAGGCCGATAAAATTTGGTATAATTTCCCTTCCCTACTTGATTAGTCCGTCATAAGACATACTTCAGAGCCCCAGGGCAGCTAGACCCTTCATTTAAACACTGGGGGTTCCTCGTTTGGTTTTCATTCTGTGACAACTGCAAACATGTTGTCGTGCTGATAGTGGACTCGAATTTGAATACTCTACGAAGAAACTGTCACACGCCATGTTAAAATAAAGCACGCCGCCACATCTGAAGCTACTCCTGCATGTGAAGTTCAAGTCCGCGCGCCTATTCTCAGCCCTTTTGGGGTGAGCGCGGTCATGTAATGTACTTCATTCAAACGTGGCGTAGGCGTAAGGTTGCGTCTGTGGGATATTTCCAGTTGAGACGACCGTGATCATTTCTTCAATTGATACGTTTCTTCCAAAAATGAAATGAATGTAAAAAAATAAAATAAAATAAAAAACAATTAAAATAAAAAGGAACCTAGTCCCAAATACCAGCGTTCCGTTTAGTGTTCGTATGCGATCGACGATTGTACTTATCTGGTAGCGGACTACCAGTCCTGATCCCTGCGAACGATAGAGTGTGTGACAGAGTGTGGGTTGGAGCGTTGGACTTTTATACCAATGTGAAATCCTGACCTCTCAACAATTGGCAGGAAAGAGTGTTCCGGCTGCACTGCATACGTTTCAATTCACGCCCATTCACAAGCATGGTCGTTTACAGAGATCACGACTACATTTAGAGCTGCTAGGGTACTAGAATGCCTCTCCCCTTGATACACTCGTTTGTGTGTTGAAGACTACAACATCTTAGCATTCACATTCATGCGGGAAAAGATGCCTCTATCTCGTAAATCAGTCAGCTAGTTATGGACGAAGTCTTTTCAACCAACCATTGGAAGCGGTCGAAGAAATCTGCCACCGAACTGAAGAACGCAGAAAATGAAGAGCGAAGAAAAAATTGCAAACAACTGAAATTAAGTGTTGGACATGTTTCACGGCGATGAAGTTCAATCAAGTCGTGAGAAAATTGGAAACTTGAAGAGGTAGTGTGTGCTGCTGAAAATATGTAGAATTTGATACCTGAGTCTTCGTTCCTGCAGATGCATTTACCAATGTTCTAGCCAGTGAGCATGAATTCGGAAAAACGGGGAAAAAGCTGGCGATTGATGATGTAAATGCCACAGCATAGATCTCCTTAAACTCCCATTATGATCAACTTGCTCTTTTCTTGGAACTATTCTGGGCTTCGCAAACAGTCTTATGCAAAGGGAGTTACGGTCTTTTAAAGCATTATAAACTCAAACTCATTTCTCGAGAATTCCGGAAAAACTTTCATTGCATATTTCTTGATGTGGAAGCCTACTATGACCATCCATTGTTCATTGGCGTGATGTTTACTGCAGTTGATGTTTACGGCATAATTTTTTTCACCTCGTTGGAAAGCTTATAGGAACCCTCTCTTACCTATTTTTCCGACTGTGCTCTCAAAAAAATGCTTGTACCGAGACCCTGCTCGGGTAGTGAGAGAGGTAAAAAGGTTACTACTCCTTTTGAGAGAGCTCAACTATACCTCAACAAGGACAATATGAAAGAATTCGAGACAGTTTTCT